TCTGCTGAACTGGTGCCGAGCTAATTTTAAGCAGTAAACATAAGCCAAGTCTCTGCTTAATGAATTTTGTCAGGTTGCAAGTACAAGAACTGTAGCGAATATCTTGCTAAAACTTTGGGCTTTCCTCAGAACTCCGTTAATATCATTTCCCTGAACCTTAGTAATCTGACATTACAATATCATGGAGAATGGCATGTCATTATTTGCAGAATATTTACCTGATTAAAAAGAGCCCAAACTCTTTATAATCCATTGAGTTGGTTACTTATTGATGATGATTCAATCATCATGTAGTGGCCTGATTCACTGATCTCATCTGGAGTCTAATCTCAGAGTATATTAGCTAGTTTTATATTATTTACAGCAGTCTTGTAATGTTATAGCTGTCGGATATTCTGATTTCTTTTTTTTTTTTTTAAGGGAGTTGACTTGTTAACTGAGGTTCGGGAGCGGGGCCTCGCCCCAAACAATCACCTGACTTGCCGAAACCTTCAAATATTGGGCCGCCTCATACCGTACTGTTTGTCTCCTTCTCTCGAAACCACCCTTTCCCTCCCTTTCTCATCCATTCAGCCATCCTGATCCCATATTTTTCTTTCTTTCAGGTTGTATCGGGGGGTCCTAATCGTCTGGCCTAAATATACATTTACGTATATGAGTCTCTCTGGGCCATCACTTCTAGATGCCCTGATAAACCCGACCGTCATCCCATTCCATCAACCCCTTCATCCTCGTTCTACTCTTCCCCAACATCCTGTTCAATTAACTATTCCATAGCTTGTTTGTGGCGTGGTCCTAGCTCGTGAAATTCATTATAAAAAAAGTGTTTTGAAGTGTCTTTTTGCCTCACACAAACATCAAGAATCAGTGCATGAATCTTAACAATGGTGACAATCATCAAAAATCTTTTTGTGACTTTAGCAGCTTGTTTTGTGACATTCAGAGTTGATCTGTTTATCTGAATAATCTGTTTGTCGTTTGTCACCATTGTTGAGGTTCATATGCAGATTCTTGACGTCTGTGAGTCTACATGATTCTGTCCAAATAACTTCCACATAATGACTTGGAAACCTTTCAAAATATCAAAGCATGCAGTAATATTCTAAGAATATTATAATGCAAAAATAATAAATTAGGGTGACCATACATCCTCTTTTCCCAGGACATGTGCGTCCGGCCGGGATTTCTAAATTGCACAAAATGTCCGGGATTCGGCTTTTGCCTTCTACAGTTGTCATTCATTGTGTGCGTTTTTGTATTAAAGCCTTGCGTGGGACTGTTTTCTTAATCCCGCTCCCGCAAACATTTTAATATTGAATATATAATTTCTGTGCATCAGGGAGTCGCTATCAATATGCGGAGTAATTAAATCACTTTGGATGCAGCTCGTGTTGGATGTAGGGTTGCCAAATCCGCATTTTTTTCCATGGAATTGGGCTGATTTTAAACTGTTGTGGCGGGTTGATTTTCTCCCGTAGGTTAAAGGTTTGAAATATTGCGTAAATTACATTTGACTGAAATGCTTGTATTGAAACATTTTGCATTCTACCTATGATAAAACGGTGGTAGATATATGGTCACTTTAAATACATCTAAATAGCAAACACACTAGGGTGGCCATATGCGCCGTTCATACGGGACACGTCCCAGCCAGGATTTTAATATTGCCTAAAATATCCAGGTTTTGGCTGTTTGCACTGTGCAGGTCGATCATTGTGTGACATTCATGAGAGCTATAGAGAGCAGAGCAGACGGCTCCTTATGCTTTCGAATCGCTCTCGCACCTACTTTGGTGTCTTTTTTGATCAGTGCGCAGCGACTCTTCAAATTAAACAAACGAACAAACATACTGGTGCATCTCAATAAATTAGAATGTCGTGGTAAAGTTCATTTATTTCAGTAATTCAACTCAAATTGTGAAACTCGTGTATTAAATAAATTCAATGCACACAGACTGAAGTAGTTTTAAGTCTTTGGTTCTTTTAATTGTGATGATTTTGGCTCACATTTAACAAAAACCCACCAATTCACTATCTCAACAAATTAGAATACTTCATAAGACCAATAAAAAAAACATTTTTTGTGAATTGTTGGCCTTCTGGAAAGTATGTTAATTTACTGTACATGTACTCGGGGCTCGAGTAGTATACTTGGTAGGGGCTCCTTTTGCTTTAATTACTGCCTCAATTCGGCGTGGCAAGGAGGTGATCAGTTTGTGGCACTGCTGAGGTGGTATAATGGAAGCCCAGGTTTCTTTGACAGTGGCCTTCAGCTCATCTGCATTTTTTGGTCTCATCATTTTCCTCTTGACAATACCCCATAGATTCTCTATGGGGTTCAGGTCATGCACCTGTATTTGCATCGCTTTGATCCTTCCCTGTAGATCTCACCTTCTCACGCGCAGCCCCACGATTGGTCGATTATGTACAATACCTGCATGTTATTGGTCAAACTGCTTTGGATGTTTTAGGCAATATTAATATCCTGGCAAGGACGTGTTCCGTATGAATGGCGCATACGGCCACCCTAATACACACAGATTAGACTCTGGATATGATTAGTAAATCAGGCCACTACACGATGATTGAATCATCATCAATAAGTAACCAACTTCATCTGATCAGATTTTCTCTAACAATTTTTGATATAATAAATGTGATTTATAAACACACAGTTATAGCAGCCAGAGAAAATCTCATTTAAAAAAGTCAAGGGTCAAGAGCCCAACTAAAGCTTATCTCCACAACGGTGACTTCATGCATATTGCAATTTTATACATCTATTTTTTTAAGTGCAGATATCATGATATATTATCAGACTATAATCGCCAAGTGAAAATTTCACATTATGACATCAATAAACAAGTGCTGAAAACATAGTTGTCCCTCCCTGCACTGTATTTTGACAGTGTATATAGACCCCAATTTTACAATATTTTACACAGTAGGGTTTGATCTATATTATCAGCTCTGCTGGCCTAGAGAAGCAAAATGTGTAACAATAGGATGGGAAAGTTGTAACAAATGGGAAAATCCGGACATACAGAAGTGCAGATTTGGAACCTAGCTGGAACCTATGATAATCAATGGATATACGCTACGAAGATGTCCATGCTTGTCTACCTTTCAAGTTAATCTATGCCTGAAACCAATCAGGGTCATGAATCCTGAAGTAGTGATATAAATTGCTGATTGCTGCTGTATGTGATGTGTGAGCAAAGTGGCCTATAAACTCTTTGCTGAGTGTTGAAACTGACTTCTGCTATTAAAACTGAAAATAATATTTTCTTCTGTGATTCTAGATGCAGTTCCCATGTGTTTTCTGACAGAATAAAGGATTTATGGTTTAACATTTGAAGGCAAAGAAATGTAAAGCCATAAATATTAGTATTGTATTTTTGCAAATTATGATTATTATTATTAAATGCTTTTTTTTTTTTTACTTCACAGTACAATAAGGAATGGTTCATGTTGTTGTTTCCCCCCGACCCCTCCCCCCCCCACACCACACACTTACCTGATCACTTGCCTGATTGTTCTTTCTCCTTTAACTGAAGTAAGATTCTTAGCACAGTTTATTTCAGTGATCATGCAGGTGTGTACGTATAAATAGTTAAATGACTCTAATGAGAAATCTTTATTATTATAAAAAAATTCGGTCCCACTTTATATTAGGTAGCCTTAACTACGATATACATTTAAATTAATCATTTGATACAATGCACTTATTGTGCACATACATGTTTTTACATCGTACTTTTACATTTTACATTTTTTTTAAATGTAAATTATAGAATGTTTCTATATGTAGTTACATATGTAATTAATTTCTGTAATTACATTTATAATTACATTGTTGACCCATCACTTACACCTTAACCCACCCTTAAACCTACCCATACCACCAAACCTGTCCCTGACCTTACCTTTATCCAACCTCAATAGCAGTAAAAGTGTTTTGTAATACAATATGACCACAATAAGTACATTGCACTTATTTTTTATGTAAGTACATAGTAGTTAAGGCCACCTAATATAAAGTGTGACCAAAAATTCAATAAAAAGAAACGCAGTGAGAGAATCATCATGTAAATAAAATATACATCCAACTTCATGATACTCACACAGGGTCAAAAGTCACAGCAGGTCCATCACTGAGATCAGGGGGCTGATGCATGGAGTTGTTACTCTTCATAGACACACAGCTGAATCCTGGAGATGCTGCTCTCTGAGCGTCAACATCACTGAGATCAGGGGGCTGATGCATGGAGTTGTTATTCTTCATAGACACACAGCTGAATCCTTTAGATGCTGCTCTCAACAGGAGCCTCCTGCTCTCGCTCTCCTCATACACACTCATTTTATAAACAGGTTTCTCCTCCTCTCTCCTCATGCACACACACTTTATAGGCTGTTCTGCTTCTCTTTTTTTCCTAGATGAGAGACTTGATTTCAGGCCTATATGTGGAAACAGAGAAAATACACTGAATTTTTAGTTTCAGTACAGGCTGGTGCTCAGAAGTGAGGAGGCACAGTGACTAAAGTGCCTGGACGCCCCGTAGTTATGGTTTACAGTACTTTTAGAGCAGTTAAGGGCTGTTGTTATGCACAAAGCACAAAACACAGATGCAGTAACACACTTTTGGCACAGTAATATAGGGATAATGCTAATAATGATCCAACAGAATTACTAAGAGCGGAAATCCCCATCACATAATTTATTGAAAAATTTGATTCTCACAAGGAATAACAGTCAGTATTATAATGCTTGCTTTTCTGAAATGAGACATCCTTGTTGATGTTTGAGGCCAACAAATATACACACTGGAGGGCACAGCCTTTGAAATGAGACACATAGTGAGATATTCAGCTGCAGACCCCCAGTATCAGCAGTTTCAGGACAGCAGCAGCGTCAGGGCAAAAGTGAGGGCAGAGACAGGCCATGTACACATTGTAAAATTTCAGGAGTAACAACCGCATTTAAATATGAGAGTGAATCCTCTAAATTATCAATTTGTGTGTACGGAACAGAATTCACTCTCAAAATTGTGATGATTGACGAATTATAACCATAGAATAGTTCTGGCTTCTCACGCTTTTGGTATGAGCTATGGGAGTTATGGGCAACAGACTTCTGTATTCTGTAAAACAGGTCACATCAAATCCGGTTCAGATCTTTTGTATGTGTTTCATTAAATACAGAGCTGTTTTACTCAAGATGCCTTCAGAGGAGATACCAAAGATAATCATAACCGATGTCCATCACACATGCATTGATATAAAAAAATTTTCTTCTTCTTACTAACATTCTAAAACATTAAAATGGAAAAGAAAAAAAAACAGCAACTGTAAAAAAAACTAGCTAGGTTAGCTGATTACCTTAAATGTCCATATTCATACTGCTGTTAACAGTTTTCCCGACAAGTGGATGCAATGAGACCGGTTATCTGGTTTGGTCAGCTGTCATAAAAGTAATATTACAGTTTGCAGGTATTGGTCTCGATATTTCACAATGGGGCTGTGACGAGGGGGGCGGGGTCGAGAGCCGTGGGAACGGAGCGAGGCCGGTGGAGTTAATGGATAATGAGCGACACCTGCACCACTCACCGGTCTCGAGTCTCACGGAGGAGCTCCGGAAGGATATAAAGGAGGAGTGACGACAGGGAAAGACGAGAGAGGACCAGGCCTGGTTTTTATTTTGTGTTTTGGTTCCATTTGTGCGCGACAGTCGTCCGCGAGGGGCTGTCACGCTATTTTGTGTTTATTTTATCATTAAAGTTTCGTTAAACGTCCGCCGGTTCCCGCCTCCTTCTTCCCGTGACTACAAACAAGGTTACAGGGGCTTATTACCAAGATAAAGCATTTTCTTCTTTTTCTAGCAAGATCTGGCAACACAAACAAGTCAAGACGTATCTCATTTCCTGTGCTTTCTCGCACTGTGTATACAGAAAACTGACAACACCGAAAAATGTTTACATATATCATTAACAACTAGTTGTTGGGAGTCAATTCGACACACGACATGTACACTATTATATGTGAACAAAGACTCTGTGGTGGTGCTGGATGAAACCAGATTTAATGGCTCCATGTAAACTGAAGTCTTGAGGTAAACTGTACGCAACGGAAAATGAAAGCATTTCAGTCCACACAGCACCACCCCATACAGTTTTACCACTAAAGCTGTAGGAATAAAAACAACAACAACAACAACGTGTGACACTAAAACAGGCTACTATAGCCAGGGCCCTATGTATTCTTAATCTAGGCCTGTTTGTGAATTTATGGTACATATAGATTGACTTTTGAGCACTCATCATTTTATTTTAGCCTATTATTATTATTATTATTCAAACTTTAATTTTTCAAAGTTGAGATCTTAATCATATTAACCTCGTTTTCAGGGATGACATGGAGTTCTTTCTGAAGGAACGATAAGACAAAATTTGCTTATAAAGGGGATCTCGTGCATCAATCGCAGTGTAAACAGTGAGAGATCTTGAGGCAGGTGAAAATCGTTTGGTTAATTTGAATATTGGCCTATTGTGCATCCTGTTGCCAAGCCCCGCCTTGATGTAATGATTGACAGGTCAGGGGCATGATCAGCTCGGAATGCAATGTCAAATCCACATTGACTTAAACTACATTAATCGCGGGGTATTTAATGAAAATGCAATTTAAACGTCTTAAGTGTAAGTATCAATGCATTTATAAAAAATAAAAGACATTTAAATCACTATTTTTCTACCCTTTAGATGCACCTTTGGCTCAGAATGCATTTTGAAATTCTCACTGCTTTTTGCTACAATTATCACGTGGTATTATGATGAAAATGCAATCCCACGTACTCTACCCGTAAGTCTAAATGCATTTAGGAAAAACAGCATGCCGCGGCAGCCTGGTTGGGAAACACTGACGTAGACATGTGGGGGCGTGTTTAAACGAGGTGTTTTAGGAGGGCGTGGACAAGTCTTAACTTTTATAAAGAATACCTCTTTGGGTTTGAGACTTTAGTCTTTGCAACTTCAGGGATCTTATCTATTCACGAACAGCTTGTAACACTCCAAAGAGAAAGGAAAACTTGAAATAGCATCATATGACCCCTTTAATAGTCATTCCGATTGAACCAAATCATTTAAACGGTTGAATCATATGAATGAAGGCACCATCGTGTTGCTCAGAGACGCAAGACAGTGCTGTGGCTGGAATGATTTTTGTTGGCGAAATAGAGCAAAAACAGGCAATATGGTGTCTAAAACGTAAGTCTCTTAATTAACTTCTTGTTTATTGAACTGTTGTATTAAATCAATATCACATTTCTAATCATGGTAATTTTTGTAGAAAAACGTCACTCTTCGTGTGAAATTGATTAACTATATGAAGTGGTATAAATATATACATTTTCATGTCTTGAATTTTGTGATAATTCTGGCCTGGCTGGTTCATCATCAAAGAAAAAGTGTCAGATTAAGTGACGTTGACGGCCGACAAAAGGGGGCGCTAATGCCATCTATTTTTGCCTAATGCTTAAAAAAATAAACCGAAACTGACGCGAAGGAGAGTGGGCTCGTGATGGCAAGCATAAAAATGTGAAGATAAAGGCGGTTGGGAGAAGCTGAAAAAAAAAGCAACCAGTTACATAAGATTACCTTTGCTTGCCAATCTCACTATACAGAGCATGTAGTCTATAGCACTATAGTAAAAATCCCAGGACACCTCTAGTCCAAACGTACACTGCTATTTTTTACTCCGCATTGTCTAACATTAATATTCCATTCATTCATAATTCATTCATAAAGACACAGCAGCGATTCTACAACAGGGTTACATTTGAGAGATACGGAGTTAGAAAATGGAGTAAATGAAGTAGCCTATAATATGATTAGTCTGATTAACATCACACGCACACACACACACACAGACATATGAATACTCATATTGAAGAATTCTGTTGTTTCTAGAATCTAGGTTTATGTTTATCATTGTCATATACATTTTGCATTCAGCTCTATGTAGATTTCAAGTATTTTAGTTCATACAATAATACATTTATTTCAATCCCCTGCTGAAAAAAAATAGAAACCATCACATAAGTAATAGTTTTACTGGTTATAATGAAAATTGTATTGGTTTTAATGGAAACCGTAATGGTGCCTGTTGGTATCTACTGGTAATTGGTCACCTTTTATTCATGGCTTTTGTTAAAACCACTAAATCCTAATGTAATATGTCCCAAAACACACTTCAGGAAACCATTATTTAATGGTTTTAATGGTTAAAAGTTGATGGTTTGTAATGTCAGTAACGGTATTTGTAGTGGAAATCATTAGAATTTCTGTGATGGTTTCTATTGTTTTTGTCAGCAGGGTCACCATGGCTTTTGTGATGTTATTTGCCATAAATGCGATAGGATTGCTGTAATATTGTGAGATAGTAGCGACTG